CTTCTTGCAGCAGTGATTAAAGAAAAGGCTAACTTCTCAATTGTAAGGTATCTTTCCTCTGCTCCTTGGAGTGCTTGGCTGGTGTAATAGATTGGTTTCTTGGCCTATTCCTCTTCCCTTACTAGCATGGAGCTGACAGCCATAGGTGATACATCTAAATGAACATATAGATGCTCCCCTAGATTTGCAACATATAAGAGAGGAGGCGACACTATGTATTGCTTTAGCTGCTGAAATGTTTTCCCACACTCCTCTGGCCACTCGAAGCTTTTCTTAAGGACTTTAAAAAACTAGAGGCACTTGTTAATTGCTCGAGAAACGAACCTATTCAAGGTAGCCACCCTTCCTGCCAACTGCTGGACCTTTTTGGTGGATTTTGGTGACTTCATGTTTGTCAAGGCGAAAACTTTCTCAGGATTAGCTTTGATTCCTCGGCTCGTGACCATTAAATCAAAGAATTTTCAAGAGGTGACCCTAAAAGCGCACTTGGTAAGATTCAGTTTCATCTAGTACATCCAGAGAACTTGGAAGGTTTCCTCCATATGTTGGACATGTAGATCAACTTGTAGGCTCTTTACCAGCATATCATCCACGTAAACATCCATGATTTTGCCTATTTGTGCTTCAAACATCCGGTTTACTAGTCATTGGTAGGTTGCTGCTGTATCTTGCAGACTAAAAAACATTACTCAATAACAAAACATACATCGATCAGTAATGAAGGAGGTATTTTTCTCATCATTCAGGACCATGAGAATCTGATTGTATCCTAAATAAGCATCCAAGAAGTTGAGGAGCTCGTGTCCGATAATGGCGTCAATGAGGATGTCAATTCTCAGAAAGGGATAACTATCTTTGGGACATGTTTGTTGAGGTCGGTAAAGTCGACACATAACCTCCATTTGCCACTTGTCTTTTTAACCAAGACAACGTTGGCTAGCCCTTCGGGTTGTTTGGATTCTTTGATCTGGTTGGACTTCAGGAGTTTTGACATTTCTTCGTTGATCACCTGGCTCCTTTATGGGGTGAAGGTACATTTTTTCTATCATATTGGTCTATGCTAGGAATCAACATTAAGTCGATGGGTGATGACCTCTAGGTCTATATCTGTCATGTCAAAATGCTTATAGGAGAAAATATCCTAGGCTTCACTTAGACAATTCAAGAGATGTACTCTAGGTTATGGGGTAAGCTTGGTGCTTGGTTTGACTGTTTGTTCGGTCTTTGCAGGGTCTAAGTCTACTTCTTCTAGATCCTCCACATGAGATCCTTTTGTCATCTTCCTTTGAATCAAAATCTCGGTTTGAATGGCTTCCTTAGAGGCTTTTTATTTCATCGATGTTACTGGCCGCCAATTGGTCACCCCTAATTTGACCTAGGCCCCCTAGAATGGGGAATCACAGCATTAGATGATAGGTTGAGGAGATGGCCCGGAGTGCGTTGATGGATGGTTTACCTGTAATAACATTGTAGGATGAAGGTGAATCCATGATCAGAAAGTTTACCATAATGGTGGATTACCAGGGAGCTTCTTCGGCCGTGACTGGGAGAATAGTAAAACCAAGAGGGAAGCCTCTTTCCCCTGAGAAGCCAATGAGAAGGGAACTGATCGCCATCAGTTTCTCTTTCCTGACACCTAGCTATTCCAATGCATCCAGTTATATGATATCTGCTAAACTACCACCATCAACCAGGACCGTTCTGACCTTGAAATTAGAAATGTTTCATGGCACTACCAGGGGATCATTATGAGGTACTTGGATTTCTGCAAGAACCTGGTTGAAAAATGAGATGGATTTTTCAATCCTGGGATACTTTAGGGGTTGATCTTCCATCTGGATGATGTAGACCTCGAGGACAACCTAGCTATTTGGGCATGATTTTTCTGAGCTGAGGAGGACTCACTACCACTAGCAAACCCTCATGCGATGACCTTGATCTCGCTGATGGGATCTTGATGACCTCGGTTCCCGTCCTTCAGCTGTCCTTCTTCTTCTACTTATCTTTGCGGTCATTTGAAACAAAATGCAACAATATTCCTCTTCCAATTAAAGACTCTATTTGCTCTTTCATATCTCTGCATTCTTCAATATTGTGGCCATGATCTCGATGAAAACAACAATATTTCTCCTAAGATTGTTTTTCGGGGCTGGCCTCATCTTGCCCGGCCATTTGAGGATCTGGTCATTTCCCACCTGGAGTACTTGGTTCCAACAGGGTGTTAACAGGAGTGTACCTGATGAAGCGGGGAGTTGGGGATTTATCCTCCTATTCATGTTTTGTGGTTTTCTTGCTCTTGGGGTTTGGCTGGGTGACTATTTTGGGTGAGTAAGATCTCCTGTTCTTCGGTTGCCTAACGGAGAAAGATCTTGTCAGGTGCTAATAGTGTCTTCAACATTCATGTGTTTCAACCATGGTCTTTGTAGAGTCTTTGCTAAAGAGTAGAGAAAGGTGGGGGTACTAACACCCCTTAGAAAAATAGTGAGGGAGACTCGATCAAGGTCCTCTACTTGTAAGGCTTTATTGATAAACCGAGTAACATAACTTTTGAGGGATTCATCTTTATGTTGCTTAATGATTAACAAGTAGGTGGCTGGTTTCTATGTTTCTATCCTCCCACAAAGTGTGACACAAAAGACTGACTTAACTAGGAGAAGGTGAAAATGGAACTTGGTTGTAGCCTACTAAACCACATGCGAGCATTCCTGCTAGCGTGGTTAGGAACGCTTGGCACCTGATCTTGTCTAGGAAGGCATGCAATGTCATCAAGTCTTTAAAATTTTGAAGGTGATCGACTTGGTTTTTGCCCCCTTCAAAAATTTTCATCTAGGGCATTCAGAAGCCATAGGGCAATGGGTAGGTCACCACAGTAGGAGTAAAGGGGGTTACTTCTCTATGGGCTGCTAGAGCAGCTTTTTTGTCAATAGCATACTTCAAGTCTCCCAACTGAGCTCTGAAATCCCTCATCTAGTCCGCTTAATCAAGGGAGTTGTCTGCTACTTCTTCATGTGGTTGTCTGTTGTTGATTGGGGATCCTGTTGGGTATCCTAGTTTTGCCGAGGATGAGAGGGATCACCATTGACACTGTTTAGTGCCGAGTTGCTTGGTCTTTGATAGTTTTGGGGTTCGACGAGGTAGGAGGCGGCAAAACAAGTGCTTGTTGCTGCCGTTGGAGTACCACTTTGAGGGCTTCGACCATTTCTTTCACTTATTGACTCAAAGCGACAACCTCACCCTGTATACATTCAACAGAGGCTCGGTCATCAAGTTGGTTTTCAGAAGGGTTAGCAGCTATGGCATTCTTGTCAGTTGGGACATTCTTACTTAGGCCTGGAGGGGAGACCATTGTTTCGGATTGTGAAAAGGTTGGAAAACAGTGTTTTGAAAGGATTGGAAAACAATTTTCTCCCAAATGGTGTTAACTGATGGAACAATGAGTAAAGAAAATCTATATGTCAAAGGGCTACGGTACTCCAGAGTTCGGAGCTCAGTCCTCGAAGTGCAGCAACTATCAAACTTTGGTCCTGTAAAAAGAAACTAAAAAAATGGGATCAGTGTGGTCCCTACCTTAAGCCTTCATTTATGAGGGCTTTTATAGTGAGTTGAGTGCATTTTTAGTTTTACGAGTAATCGTTCATGGTTGAGTGTCTAAAATGCTAATGTCATGCAAGAGCCTTCGTCGCTAATGTGTGCCAGGTATGCTGAAGCCCATGTGTGGTGTCAGAAATGTGAAGCCAAGTGTCAGCTTCTTCTTGTCTAGACACATGCAGGTGGTGGCTGGCGTACCCCGGTCATTTAATTTTTATCTACTTGTCTACTTGTTTAACTTTTATCTATCAAGCAACCACTAAGAATTGTCAAGTAACAAAACAAGATTGTCATTACCTTGCAATATGATTGTCAAGCTATAAAGAGTTCAAAAGATATAATAATTGTTCAAAAGTTACAAGGAGTTTGCTCTCAAACAAAAAACATCCATTGGACTTCAAAAATTATGGTGAACAAAGATCATTGATGCATTGCATTGTTCATTGTTGTCCAAGTATTGTGTTTTTTTTTTTTTTTTATGTAAACCCTCCAACCTATTGAAAACCATAAAATGTTTGTCATAAAATGCTCTCAAACAACCCAAGTGCATAGCATCAGATATGAGCATTACATAAAAACCAAATACATATTTGCAAGGTTATCTCTATAGCTCTTCCAATTGGTGTAGTGAATTTAAAACCTGCAAGCACTTTGTCGATCAATTATTTTTCTTTGAAGCTCCTCATTATATGATCTTTGCATAGTAGTTAAATTGGTCATATCCATTGACATAATTTTATGGTCCCCATTTTGTTATTCTATTTTATTCATCATTGCTAACATTTGTAGTTGGGTTTCCCTACTCTTAGCCTTCCTCTCACGATCTGTTGCCTTTGGTTGATCATGTTAAATAACTTTATCAGACATACCCATCAACACTTCAATAAGTTTAGTTTGATTGGCTGCTATAGCATCAAACCTTGAATCATGAATTATCTTCTTCTTTCTTCATTCTTTCTCAACCATATTACCAATGGGTCATTTTGAGTTCTCTTTTGAAGGTTGTTTGTCTCAAAATTGAGGGACAATGGAGTTGAAGGAGTTGAAGGTGATGAAGTAGGTCTCTTGAACTGCGTTCGAAGGTCATCCCACTTACAACTGTGGCACAAAACTTCCCAACATGCATCATATTTAAAGTGTTTATTTTTTGAATACCATAATACATGAGTTTGGCCTCAGCAACTTGAAATATGAAAAGAATAAATGTTATAAACTACAAGTATAGACAACTTCAAATTTTTTTGTTCAAAATAATTACCTTACTAGCTTGCCCAATTCCACTTTATTGTCTCATTTATACTTGATCTAGAAAAGCACAAAACTTGTTCACTACCTTTTGAATCAAAGACCAATGATGAGATAAAGAAATGGTGGTTTGATGTGGTAGAACAATCGGTTGGGACAAGAAATACCCAAGAACATGATCCCAGGATGCCGCCTTACTTTGGGTGTTATCGAAAATCGGATCTTGGGATATGGCCAACCATGATCTACAAAGTGTTTCATCTTCTGATATACTACAAGCTTTCCCACGTATAGGAGCACTTTGGGAAATAATTTCTAGTCCATGAAATTCCTCTAAACTTGAAGAATTCTCAAATAGTTCATAACCATCCATTGTTTGGACTTGGAAGAATAAAATTAAACAAATAAACAAGACCAAACAAGAAAAGCAAATCCATGTAAATTCAATAAACCAACAAAAATAAACAAAGCAAAGATACTGCCTTGTGGTAAAGATACCGAAGAATACAATCCAATCGATAAGCAAATAATGAAATATTGTTCTTTTTGCCCATTATACATTTCAAATAATAGAACATAATTTCAAATAAGCAAATAACATAACACAATTGAATCAATAAGCAAAAAACATAACCCATTCCACATGTTATGCATCTAGACCAGAACCATCAGCTAAGATTTTCAAAGCTTTGTTTTTTCATTGTATCATTTAAGAAAGAAAACATATATGAAAACCTGAACACTTTCTTTTCATGCTTTCTGAGAAATATTCAATTGTAACTCTAAATGTGAGTTTCTTCTTTGAGAGCTTTATTCTCACTAGTATTACTGAGCACATATTCATGTACTATTATCCTAATATACACTTGAATCATGCTCACTGAATACCTCTTAATGATTACAGCTGAGGTTAGAATTTTGTTGGCTCCTTGATGAATATGCATCAAGTAGGATAGGTCTCATTACTCTTCTATTGTTGTTGGTTACACATTTTTGTTGTCTTTTTTTTAACCTATACCAAAAATTTCAAAACACATTGCACAAACAGATTTTTCCTATTTCACAATAAACAAAGCAAATCAATGAAACCCATATAAAAAAAAAAATTCCCATTCCACCAAATATAAATCCATATTTTTCCCATTCCATTGAAAACAAATCTATTTGTGTGTGTTTAGAAATTAGCTTATGTAGAAGATGATTTTGTAGAAATCTATGAAATCTGTATTAAGATTATACAAATCTATATATTTTTTTAAACAAGCTTGTGTAGAAATCTGATCTCTGTCCCATTCCATCAAACACTGAGTGCAGTAGTGAAGAGAGGAGAAGAGAGAGAAAGAGTTTACATGATGAAGGAAGTATTGATGACCATTGACAACTTGGGTAGAAGACGAGATCGACAATTGTTGAGATCAGGGTAGAAGACGAAGTCCTCTGGAAACATTTTAGAATTTTTATGACTGTTGGAAAAAAAAAAAGGTATGGTATTTGGGTCTCCCTTCATTAGGGTTTAGAAAAGGGTTTCCCTTTTTTTAGTATGGATAAGGGTCTACCATTGGAGAGGAATTTAAGTCATTTTATCCAAATTTAAAATAGGGTCTAAAAGGTCAGGGCTGGAGTTGGTCTAAGTACATACATGGATTCCTAGTGTCCAAATTAAGTTAGGAATATATCTCTTGATGTTTGAAACAAACTCCAGCAAAAACTTATAGTTTCTACTTCAACGTTTCCTCCTCTAAACTTCTTCCTATCCTTCTCTCTTTCCCTTTCTCTTTTCTTCTCCCTCCTTCTCTCTCTCTCTCTCTCTCTCTCAAACTGGATTTGTCCCCCTTCTTATACCCCTTGAAGATGAGTCAAGCCTCCCATGGAAGCCATGCAGAGCATCTCCTTCTCAAGCCGCCAACAGGGTTGCTTTGTGAAGTACTTGTCACCTCAAGGGAAATTCCATCATTTTACATTTTCTTAATTAAATTTCAAAGATTAATGTAAAATATTTGTTTCCATAAAATTATATACATCTTAAATCAAGTACTAGGAAATTATTGATTTAAATTTTTGATCGCCAAATTGACCCTCAATTTGATCTGCAACCAAAAAATCATGCACCCCTAATCACACATCCACCTACTTCAGTTTTAAGTCTCCAAAATTTTAGTTGTCACACTTATGATTGTTATTCTGACGTGGTATAGCCTCAACCCACTTTGAGATATAGTCAACTTCCGTCAAAAATGTACAAAATGAATGGACCAATGAAATTGATACCCCAACAGCCAAAATCTCAATGATAAAAATAAGGTTAAGGGGCATCATATTCCTATTCCTATAGGTTATCCCTCCTGGCTTTTGACATCGCTCACAAGCCTTAAAACAATTGTGTGCATCCTTAAATAGTGTTGGTCAATAAAATTCACACTGAAATGTTTTTGCAGCAGTTTGCCTAGTCAAAAAATGATCTCCACAAGCCTTCGAATGACAAAAAGAGAGAATTTTGTTTACCTCATCATTAAGGACACACCTTCTAATGATTTAGTCAGGGCAATACTTGAACAGATAAGGGTCATCCCAAAAGAAACTTCTCCCCTCAACCAAAAATTTTGTCTTGTGCACTCCAAGTTGTTGGCATATCATCTGTGATAAGAAAATTCACAATATCAGCAAACCAAGATGATGCAGAAATAGTCAATAACGGCTCATCAAGGAATGTGTCCTTAATCAACATTGTCATTATTGGCACATTGCTCACAAGTCTAGACAAGTGGTCAGCCACTATATTCTCTACTCTTTTTTTTATCTTTTATCTTTGATGGTTATGTCAAACTCTTGGAGTAGGAGGATCCACCTAAGTAGTCTCGACATTGCATCTTTCTTTGTTAGCAGGTATTTCAAAACTGCATGGTCAGTGAAGATAATAATAGGTGACCACACAAGATAAGACCTAGACTTATCTAAGAAGAATACTATTGATAGTAATTCTTTTTTTGTAGTAGAATAATTCATTTGCGTGTTGTTCAAAGTCCTACTAGAATATTATATGACATCTGGCTTTTTCTCATTGCGTTACCATAAAACTACCCCCACAACATAGTCACTAGCATCACACATAATTTCAAAAGGAAGACTTCAATTTGGTGATTACATAATAGAAGCAGTAGTGAGCATTCCCTTCAACTTATTAAAGGCTTCTTGGAAAGACTCACTTCACTTGAAAGGTGTGTCTTTCCCTAGGATGTGGCAAAGTGGTCCAGATATAAAACTAAAGTCCTTTATGAACCTCCTATAAAAACCAGCATGGTCGAGAAAAGATCTAACATCCTTAAAGGTCTTGGGCGTAGGCAAGTTGGAAATCAATTCAATTTTAGCTTTATCTACTTGAATTCCCTCAAACGAGACAATGTGACCAAGAACAATTCCCTTCTAAACCATGAAGTGGCATTTTTTTCAGTTTAACACAAGGTTCTTCTCTTCACACTTGGTTAAAACTTTTTCCATATTAGATAAATATTCATCAAAGGAATCACCAAAAACAGTAAAATCATCCATGAAAATCTCAAAACAATCGCAGGTGCATTGCAAAGTCCAAAAACAATCCTTCGATAAGCAAAGATGCCAAAAGCACAAGTAAAAGTGATTTTCACTTGGTCCTCTAGGGCAATTTCAATTTGATTATACCCCAAATAACCATCTAAAAAATAATAAAACAGATGTAAAGCTACCCTTTCTAAAATTTGATCCATAAAAGGCAAGGGAAAATGGTATTTTCTTGTCACAGAATTAAGATTCTTGTAGTCTGTGAACATTCTCCAACCTGTTATTATCCTAGTTGGCACAAGCTCATTATTTTCATTAGAAACAATAGTCACACCAGATTTCTTAGGGACTACTAGTGTGGGACTACTGTTGGTTGTACGTAGATGATCCCTACATCCAATTGTTTCAACACTTCCTTCCTTACAACTTTATTCATATTAAGGTTGAGTCCCCTTTGCATCTCCCTAGATGTTTTGGCATTATCCTCTAAGTAAATCTTATGAGTACAAACTATGGGACTAATACCCTTGATATCAGCAATAGTCCACCCAATTGCACATTTGTGCTCTAAAAAAATGTGAAGTAACTTACCTTATTGGGCTAAGTTAAGGTGGGATGAAATTATTACCGAAAAAGTCTCCTCCACTCCTAAGAAAGCATACTTCAAATCAGTAGGTAGAGGTTTCAAGAACCTATGAAGAATTCAAATTAGAAGTTGCTTCATTAAATTCGGAATTTTCTTCACCGATATCTAAAGAAGAGTACTCAAGAAAATATGCTTCAAGTGGATCCGAACAAGAAGAGCTATTTAAGTTATCCTGAATAATTGACTCAATCATGTTCACCTCATAGAAGTCATCATCAACCTCCCCATAGTGTTTACAAACATTAAAAATGTTTGATTTGAATGCCATATTGCCAAAAGATAATTTCATTACATCATTCATGTAGTTTATCAAAGTACTAGTCATAACCCGTGCCTAAAGGCATGATAAAATATAAGATTCTAACATTCAAAAATTGATCTCATTATACCAAATTGAAAAATTAATTTTTACCTATTATTTTCTTAAAAAGAGCGTCAAAATTTTCTCCAAATGCATAACTCAATAATTTTTTTCAACATATGTATACTATCGTGTATGAATAATTTATGAAATAAAAGTTGTGTTAAACTACAAATTAATTAAATATTAAATGATTGAACATGTGATAGAATTTGGTGATGTGATTTTTTTGGGGAGAAAATGTATAGGGGATAAAGATTCAACTTATTAGCTGATTTATTATATTAGAAGTAACTAAGAGTGATCGGCCCAATATAACTGTAAGCTGAGCACTGTTATTCAAAACAGGATGCGTATCCAAGATAATAAAATCAACAGAAAAATAGAAATTATCTACTTGGACTACACATCCTCCACCATCCCCCTCGGTATCCTAACAAATCAGTCAACAAGTTGAAATGTCACCGTGGAGGGCTTCAACTCCCAAAGACCCAACTATTCATATACTGAATAGGGAAGAAAATTTACACTGGCCCCCAAATCAAATAAAGCTTGTTCAATTGTAAATTTTCCAATCACACAACAAATACTAGGGCAACCAAGATCCTTATGCTTTGGTGGGGTATTGTGTTGAGTAATAGAAGAAACCTGCTCAGGTAAGAATGTTTTCTTTTGCACATTTAGCATATGCTTAATAGTGTACAATCTTTTGAAAATTTTGCATAAGAAGGGAATGTTAATTTTGACTTGCTTGAAAATTTCCAAAATCTCATTCTTTAAATTAAGTTTTGATGGAGCTAATAATCTCTTAGGGAAGGAAGTAGGAATCAAA